ACTGGATCTTCTGGGCATGGATTGGGAGTCATTGTAATAATTTCTAACAGTTGTGGTGGCCAGTCCTAATTCTTTTAGCTAGAAGCATCCGCCAGGAAGAACGTGCCACTGGCGAAAAAAACCTGCGGGGGAAACTGCGCAAAAAACGCATCCTCGTACCGGCAGCCGGTACGCTTTCTACTAGGTTTTTTCTTTAGTCGAAGTGTTTGGCTACAGCGCAGGGATCATTCCTGCTGTTAGTGACCTGCGAGTTTAGCGCAAAAACGCGTGACCACATCGGCAAGCCTGGTGCGTTCCAGCCTGGGTCGTATATGCGCAAATATGCAAAAATGCACAAGAACGAAAAATGACAATTCCAAGTTAAGCAACAGCGAAATTTCCTCGTGAAAATAGAATTAGCCCGTCCACCACCCGGTGTTATCCCATTCCGCGCAGAGAGGATTCGCGTTCTTTAATGAAGCCAAAGCAAACTAAAAATGACTCATTCTCGAATATCAACGGCGAAAGAAGACTTGTGCGCGAAGCAGCCTTCGAAGCATCGTCACTCAGTAGGGAGAAACCCCGGCCGATGATCCCCTTTGTCGCTGTAGCAACCGTACAGTATGGACGAATGCCTGCAGTTTGCATATCTACATGAAATGCACATGAAATTCGCAATCGCTAGGATAATTCGATAACACCGCCTGCAAAAAAGTACTTTATAAAGAAGACAAAACTCGCAACGCATAGCCGCAACTTCATGTTTTAGCTATGTGCGAGGAAAAACAACGGCTCATCGGTATCAAGAAGTGTGCAGAAGTAACTTAGGACTACGACAGCTATTTTGACCTGCAGCTACTGACTACTTTCACTTCACCGATCGTAACTGCTACGGCTGAAAACACAATACCCATTGCTCAGCTTAACGGCAACCCCGGAACAGCTTTCTTGCTCGCTTTTCTTCTTATTCCATCCCCTCACCCTTCAGCGCATGGACCAGCGATTTCACCAGCAGTGCCAGGCGGTAAGGAGTCCAGTAATTCATTTGCCAAGCACGAATACAGGACCATTTGGAAAGCCGATGCGCGTGCGTCAAAATTCAATTATGCCAGACCCTCTGAGAATGACAGTAGTCTATCTGTTCGATGTTTGTATGTGCCAATTATTCAGAGACCCCCAAATGGTCGCTTATTTCCTACGTAAAAAATATTTGCGCTCGATGAAATATGTCAAGATTCATGTTGGTAGAGAAATATGCCACCTATGTCAAATGAATTAATTCTACTTTGCGTCACCAAATGAACGAGATGTACTCAAAGCGTACGAAACACATCTGAAAGACAACGTGGCCAAGCATTTACTTCACTAATTTTTATCATAAAAGCGAAACTTCTGCATTCTAAACAGACACAAAAAAGCTACACATTAACAACGAAAACAACTCTTCCTATACTGCCCGAACTACAGAGAATTGTCCAATAAATTTAAATGATATTTACGACGAATGGTAGCAAAGTCATCGGACTGCAGCACCGAGGGCAACTAACTGGAATGTCTGGAATGATGTGGGCACGGAAAGCACGCCACAGTCGATGAAAAAACCACAGGTGAAGACCAAAACTATAAATTAACGGCTATCCTATGTTGTCCGGGTGCACGTAAACATGAATGAGCAAGAGAAGAAGTGAAAGTATTCCTACATACATTAGCGGACTATAGTATGATTTGAAAATGCTACTGTTGGGCCATTTCTCGTTTAGCATGTGCCTTAGTCTGTGAACAATTATAGTCAAGAAAACTAGTACTGCAACGTCGTTTTCAAAAATTCACCAGCACAAAAAGATATCATCTTTCATTGATGCGCTGCCTTTGTTTCTTATAATTTGCCATATTCTGTTGCTGTTGCTTTTTGAGAAATTCTTTGACGCCAGCTTGTCGCTTCTCTCGAGCGTATCTCTCGCTCCAATACATAAATACTGAAAATAAGTAACAAATATTACACTAGACGGAAAAATCTACACCAGACGAAAAAATTATAAACAAAAAATCCCGCTTGCAAAATCTTCTATTTTCACCTTTTGCCATACGTTTGAACAGTATGTTTATATTTTAAAATAAGAAAAATGAGGAGAATAAAAAGTATTAAAACCGACTCAAAAATATTATTCTGCGTTAATTAATTCCCTTTTTTTACATGAACTGATAACATTTTTTCTTAGGAGTAACTACCAGTGAATGTATCTATGCGACAAACGTATCCAAGCTACGCATAAATGAGCAAAGGGTAAAGAAATTGAGGTTTAAACAAAGTTTATAAGCTTAGAATAGATAAAAAACGTATTTCCCAAACCAGGGCGCCCAGATATGCTCAAGCGACCACGCTGTGTATTTGTAAGATATGAAATACAAAAAAAAAAATTTAAAACAAATGGCCAGCGCACCGAATGCCCGTGCGAAGATGTGTTTTTTGCGTAGTCCCCCGTAGATTTTTGTTGCTAACGGCACTATTTTTTTCGGCAAATGCTTCTAGCTAAAAGGATTTTTGAGAGTGGCTGCCAGGACTGTCAGGAAGCATCCGTTTAAAATTTCAGCTTTCTAGCTTTTCTTGTTCCCAAGTTAGCAACTTGCCCGCAAAAACTTTCACGGGCTCGTACATAGGAACCACGCATACCCAGGGACTGGGTTTGCGCTCATTAATACCTATTTGGACGGGGAACATCTCCTCAAAATTCCAGTTTTCTAGCTCTTCAGGTCCTCGAGTTAGCAACTTACCCGAAAAAACTTTCACCGGTCCGTACGTAGATACCGGAGGCTGGGTTTAAGCTCATTAATACTTCATTGATGAGGAATATCTCCACAAAATTTCAGCTTTCTAGCTTTTCTGGTTTCCGAGTTACCAGCTTCCCTGCCAAAGCTTTTGGCAGGGAAGCTGGTAACTCGGGAACCAGAAAAGCTAGAAAGTCGAAATTTTGTGGAGATGCGAGTAAGAGCACCCGTTTTGGGGACTGGGCCCGTAAGTGCATGTAGACTCATGTCCCAAAGTTTCAGCCCTGTAGTTTTTCATAGGTCTTAAAATGAAAAATCGGTACACATGCACACAAGACACACAGACGAGCAGTCACACACACACACACACACACACACACACACACACACACGGATAACTCCTCGTCAACATGCGCTTTCTACATTGCACAGGTGCAAAAAACGCATAAAAAATGACGACGGGGTTACATAGTTTCGAGCCTGGCCTATGGTAGGAATGTACTTCGACTGCACTGTAGGGTTCACTGGCGATCGCAGCAGTTTTTTAGTAATTTCAAAGTGGTAAGAATGTCAGACCACTTGATGAAGTAGCAAAGATCACTGATGCAATAAACGTCGCCCTGCCGTAACCATCCTCCGATCCTTTCTTCAGAAATGCAGTCAGCGACTTCATCCGATAATCCTCATCAATCTCATCGCTTTCCACCCGCTAAATTCTGTAAAAAACAAGGAATGCTTACAAACTGATATAACAATAAAGTTCACAAGTTCAGCCAACCAACAACAGCACTTCGAACCTCAAAGATACTTGCACTTCTTATCTTCCAACGACTTCCTACATGAGAATGAACCACTTTCCTGGCTTTGCAAAGGAGATAAGTCAAAAGAAGAGCAAGGGAGCAACAAGAAATAGGGAAATGTTAGACTAATAGAACAATCTCCACTAATCATTGCTATATTTTTCCGAAGTGCATCGGGGTGAATCTTCGTT